GACAAACGAGCGGACAGAACTCCCCAAAAGAAAAACGAGCAAACAAGCATGACGTCACACGAGCCGCACCGCATGTCTGTGCAGCTTCCCCCTCCCCAGGAGGGGGAAGGGGGAGCCCCAGACCCCCAAGCCGGCGATCCACACCCCAGTTCTGAGGCTGGATATCAAAAACCGTGAAAAACCGCCGACCGGAGGGCGGGGGGGATGCCGGGGAGCCTCCGGGACTTGCCCAGAAAATGGCGTTTTATTACATTCAACGCTGGTTTTCTGGCGGGAGCCCCTACGACTTCCCGGAGCTACCTCACTAAAGACTACCAAGAAAACCAAGGGGACTTACCCGGGAGGCGGTCAGTGCTCCACTCCTCAACACAAAGCCGAGACAATGGGCTGCAACCGCCGACCTAAAACAACACAGGCCCGACTGGGCCCAGGAACGTTAACAAGGTAGTGTGCAGCCAGAACTCTGTTCGACCGCCAAAATCCAACGTGCCCGAATGTCAGCCCAAGTCATATTGCCGAAGACAGCAGCAAGAGCAGCAAACTTACGAACGTCATGGGTACGGGGTAGACCGCACGCTGGCTGGATTTAATAACCCTGCGGACGACCTGATACACCCGAACCCGCAAACAGGGAAGAAGGGAAACCGAATCAACCCAAAGCGCGTCCCCGGGCACAGAAGCCGTGGCGCGCAGATAACGGCGGAGGGCCGCAACCGGACACAACACATGGTGAACCCTCGGCCTGACAAACCACGCATCTACAACCCATGGACCCCTCCGGAAAGCAGCAGTCTCATTCTTCGCCAGAAAAGAGGGAGACGGCTGCAAACGAACAAACCGAAGACCACGACCAAAGGAGCAAAAACCTCTGCGCCGGAGAAGAGCATGAAGCTCTGCCACACGACCCCCAGAGGCTAATGCCAACAGAAAAAGTGTCTTAGCAAAACAATCTTGAACCGAAGGGGCCACAACAAACCGAGGAGCGGTACGATAGATGAGCACTCTGTCCAAGGACCAGGACGGCTCAGGCAGTGCATGAGCAGGCCGAAGGTGAAACAACGCCCGAGACAGCTTGCGAAACGGCGCAGAAGTAACATCAATACCGAAAGCAAGCTGTAGCGGCTCCGTCAGCACTGCACGATACGAGGCGACAGAATTAGGCATCAGATGATGGTCCTGAAACAACCAAGAGAGAAAGGATAACACCACCCGAACCGAAAGCGAGGAACAATGACGCAGGGTCAAAAAGAACCGGAAGGACCGCCAGGAAACTTCATACTGCCGCCAAGAGGAAACTTGCAGGTGACAAACCAACAAGGAAGCCACCTGCTCACCATAAAGATGGTGATAAACACGAGTCAAAAACACCAATCGCGAAGACTCGCGGAGAAGAGCGAACCAGTCATGTACTGGACTGGCCAGATCTCCTGAAAGATGCGGAGCCGTGGAAAAACCTCCGGGTTCGGATACCGGGCAAGCAGCGCCTGAAACCACGGCCTGGCCGGCCACCAAGGGGTCAAGAGGACCACTCGACCTTGGTAAATCTCCAAGTGAGCCAGGACCTGGAGCAGCAGCTGAACCGGGGGAAAGAGGTACAGGAAACTCCACCTTGACCAGTCCTGCCGAAAAGCATCGATCCCGACGGCCTCGCAGTCGGGGAAGGGCTCCACGTAAACCGGAAGACGCCTCGACCACGCCGACGCGAAGAGGTTCACCTCCGGGTGCCCGAACGTCCGGCAGAGCCAACGGAAGGAGCCGGCATCGACCATGCACGAACCCATCAACCGAGGAACTGAGGTGTGGATCGCCCACTCGGAGGTCTGGGGCTCAGGAGCTGTGCAGACATGCGGCGCGGCTCGTGTGACATCATGCTTGTTTGCTCGTGTTTCTTTTGGGGAGATCTGTCCACTCGTTTGTCAATTTTTGTTGTTAACCAGAATAGGGGTTTGTTTTGTGGCGCTTACCTTTCTGGGTGCCTGTCCTGGTTGATGGCAGATATAGAATGCTCCAAATCACATGTGCATTTCTATGGGCCATTGCTCCCCGTGCCTCTGTGAGGGGGCCAGGTTCTGGCTCGTGGTCCCTGGTAGGCTAGAACTCCACCCACATTGACTGATGCAAAATAGTTAGGATATCCCTATCAGCCATGGATAGCTCCGGGAGCCTCTGGGACTCGCCCAGAAAATGGCGTTTCATTACATTCAACGCTGGTTTTTTAACAGGCCATAATAGTCCATATAGTCATAATTATATGTTTAAATATTCAGTGAGAAAAGTTTGTGAAGTTTTTACCCCTATCCATACCTAAGATCATTTGTTCAGCAAATTTTTCTTTTACGTCTTGCCCAGATTTAATTTAAAAATAAAACCAAACAATAAATTAAAAAGGGGTATGTATAGCTAAGGTACACCCCTAGCTATACTTATTAGTAGGTGAACAGGGGCATTTGGCGATAGAAATGCTCCCATCAGCCTGTGATCATCACCTTCTCTCATATTTCATGTTCACCAGTGTTTATTTACTTAATAACTACTGGTATAATATTTTGTTATTATAAAACATTCTAATATCATAAAAGACATATTTACTACAAGTTTCAAGCAGAGAATGCATATATAGTTAACACGAAGGACGCCTCTTGATGAAACTCGCCAACTAAAATGCTTTGTTTATACGTAATAAAATTGATCCTACGTGTTGTGTAGTAGAGAAAAATTGAGTTATATCTAGTTTACATGAAGCTGCGAGTGGTCGAGCCCGTCCTTACATTGAGGCAGTGTAATTACGAAGATTTTCCTTCTTAAATGCCTACCTGAATACTGACGTAGCCACTACAAAGATGCTAAGAAAAAAACATTCGTAAGTAAGTACCTAACTGCTTCGTGAATCTGGCCCCTGGCCTTTGGATCGGGTGCTCTCTTTTCTGTCTTTTTAGTTTGTAATGGTCCCTTCGGTTCAGGATTGTTTTTTTAACGCTCTTTTTCTGTTGGCATTGGCCTCTGGGGGGGTCCTGTCGAGGAGCTTTATGCTCTCCTCCGGCGCAGAGGTATCTGCTCCTTTGGTCCTGGTGGTAGGTTTGTTCGGTTGCAGCCGTCTCCTTTTCTGGCGAAGAATGAGACGGCTGCTTTCTGTAGGGGTCATTGGGTTGTTGATGCTTGGTTGGTCAGGCCAGGGGTGCATCATGTGTTGCGTTCGGTTGTGGCTCTCGGCTGTTATTTGCGCACCATGACTTCAGTGGCCGGGAATGCGCTTTGGGTTAACCCAGTTTCCCCTCCTTCCCTTTTCCCGGGCTCGGATCTCTCAGGTCGTCTGCAGGGTTATTAAGTCTAGCTAGCCTGCGGTCTATCCCTGTACCTATGACATTTGAAAGTTTGCTGCCTTGGCTGCAGTCTTTGGCAGCCAAACATATCTTGGGTTGACATTCGGTCTCAGGGTTTTTGGCCGTCGAACAGGATCCTGGCTGCATGCTACCTTGTGAAGGGGCTCCCTCTTCCCTATCCTGGGGAGGGGGTGTTGCGCAGACAGCGGCGTGGCAACATGATGACGTCATACTAGTTTGCTAATTTTCATTTGGGGAGTTCTGTCCACTCGTTCGGCTTTCGGTAGCAATAGTTGCACCAGAATAGGGGTTTGTTTTGGGACGCCTACCTTTCTGGGTGTCAGACCCAGTTGATGGCATACATAAAATGCTCCCAACCACATGGCGGTTTCTATAGGCCATTGCTCCTCGTGCCTCTCTGAGGGGGCCCAGGTTCTGGCTCGTGATCCCTGGTAGGCAAGAACTCCATGCACATTGACTGATGCCAGAAAGTTATACATATCCATTCAACCTAGATAGCTCCGGGGAGCCTCTGGGACTCACCCAGAAAATGGCTTCTCATTACATTCAACACTGGTTTTTTTTTAGTTTCCCCTGTGATGAGAGACTGCATTTTAACAATATAAGAAGAGAAAATAATTTTTTGGAAAGAATTTATTTTCGGCGCATCACGGGTGTGTTGTATTTTAATGCAGAGCAGTGTAGTCATTAAGGTAACCTCGGTGTATGATAGTGTGAAGACATTATGGCATAGTGTGAATACATTACATCATAATGTTAACATGTTAAGGCATACTGTGAACATGTTATGACATAGTGTGAACATGTTATGACATAGTGTGAACAGTTATGGCATAGTGTGAACACATTACATTTTGTGAACACATTACAACATTTTGTGAACACATTACAACATTTTGTGAACACATTACAACATTTTGTGAACACATTACAACATTTTGTGAATATGTTATGGCATAATGTGAACTCATTATAGCATATTGTGAACATCTTAGGGCATAGTTTGAATATGTTATGGCATAGTGTGAACACTTTGACATAGTGTGGGCATGTTATGGAAAAATGTGAACACATTATGATATTTATATATTTATTTATTTATTATTTATATACAAGAATATATTTATATTGGGGGTTAGCAGAGAACATAAAAATGAAGTTGATTTTACATTCTTGTAAAGCCACTAGCACGCATAGCATTTTGGGCAAGTGTAATAAGTGTAAACATTTTATGACTGTGTGAACAGGTTATGGGATAGTGTGAACACATTATGCCATAGTGGTAGCACCTACTGCTTTTGTACACAGCAGATAGTAAACTTCTGCAATGTAGAGTAAACAGGTGCAGGAGTTTAAAGGATAAATGCTGAACACAGCAGAGTGTACTGCATAAAAATCACTCAATTTTAGTGTCTCAATTTTTTGTAGTCACTTCCATCAAAATCCAAACATACATCAAATACTCTTACATATTTTTGTTGACTGATTCATTAGTTTGTTGACTGATCTTTTCTTTATTCCTTCATGGGATCTCCTTCAAGATGTATTTTTTTAATTCTTGCATATATGGCATTGCAAATCTATTGAACTGAGCAAACCAGTAAAAATGGGTAGGCAGTTTATTGTTTCCTAGATGTTAATGACAATTTTCTTTGACAGAGTACAAAAAGCAGAAAAGGAGGAGGATGTTCCAGTCTCGGTCACAACCACAACAACAGGAGATTCCAAGAAAAGGTGTTCAACACCTTTGAATGTGCCAGAAGTCACCCCAGCTCCCCCTTCACCTTTCTCCAACATCACTGCTTCCTCCCCAGCCCCTATCACTATAAACTACATCCCTGGTCCCGACCCCCATGAAGACTCCGAGGGCATCATCGTTGTCAATAGCTCCCTTCCCTTGGACTCAGACCCACAGGTGGGCCAGGGTCTCCTTTGTGAAGAAGAGATCAGAGAGGAAGACTATAGTTCAGGAATCATTATACTCAGAGTCAGTGATCCTGAAGAGGTGTTGGAGGCCAATAACCTCAACCAACAGCTTGAGGACACCCAGGCATACAGAGTAGCAGCTGAAGCCAGTGCGAGAGAGTTTGAAATGTGTTTGTGTTCTTCTCAGGAAGGTGAAAGTAACAGTCGAAAGACTTCTGGGGGCTGTCTTAACTGTCTCCAACGGCAGGACAGCACCAGACAGGCTAGGAGGGCAGTCGAAGGCAGTTGTTTTCCTTGCAGTGGGGCGTCTAGTGTGAGAGAAAGTACTTTAGGAGACCCATATTCTGTGATTGCCGGCACTGCCAATGGTCTTCGCCACAGAGGAAGTGTCTCAAATCCTATGATGCAACTTCCCTCACCTGCCCTCCAGATTACCACTGCACCTTCACCTGGGTTCACACTATCCTCAGAGATTCACGATGATGTTCTTTGGAGCACCAGATCTCTAGACAACATGGACAACATTGCTAGCAGGGCAATGGGGGAGGAGAGCTATGAGGGTGTACGTCTGGTGCCACTATCTCAGCAGGCAGCTCTCAGGTCCTCTGGATCCCTGCAGCTGGTGGCCACCCTTTCCCCTGGTACGTAGCATGCTGGATACTGCCCTGGTACATAGCATACCGGAAATTAACATGGTATGTAGCATTCTGGGTGCTGATAATGGTACATAACATGCTAAGTACTGTAAGTCTCCATCATCCCTAGTAACACAAATCAATTTTGTGATAACTGTAATAATAATAATATAGCTATTATTGAAAGACCCAGTGTGTGTGTATTAATAACCTAATTTTTTAATGTAACCTAAATCCTTTCTCAAGGTACTGTATACAATGTTCAGTATAGTACTGTATAGAACACTGTATACAGTACTTTGAGAAAGGATATACATTACACCTGAAAATTTGTTTAATACACATACACAAATATTGGGTCATATATATATATATATATATATATATATATATATATATATATATATATATATATATATATATATATATATATATATATATATATATATATATATATATATATATGTCGTACCTAGTAGCCAGAACGTCGTACTCGGCCTACTATGCAAAGCCCGATTTGCCTAATAAGCCAAGTTTTCCTGAATTAATATACTTTCTCTAATTTTCTTATGAAATGATAAAGCTACCCATTTCATTATGTATGAGGTCAATTTTTTTTTATTGGAGTTAAAATTAACGTAGATATATGACCCAACCTAACCAACCCTACCTAACCTAACCTAACCTGTCTTTATAGGTTAGGTTAGGTTAGGTAGCCAAAAAAGTTAGGTTAGGTTAGGTAGGTTAGGTTGATGAAAAACAATTAATTCATGAAAACTTGGCTTATTAGGCAAATCGGGCCTTGCATAGTAGGCTGAGAAGTGCGTTCTGGCTACTAGGTACGACATTATATATATATATATATATATATATATATATATAATATCGTACCTAGTAGCCAGAATGCACTTCTCAGCTTACTATGCAAGGCCCAATTTGCCTAATAAGCCAAGTTTTCCTGAAATAATATATTTTCTCTAATTTTTTTCTTATGAAATGATAAAGCTACCCAATTCATTATGTATCAGGTAAATTTTTTTTAATTGGATTTAAAATTAACGTAGATATATGACCGAACCTAACCAACCCTACCTAACCTAACCTATCTTTATAGGTTAGGTTAGGTTAGGTAGCCGAAAAAGTTAGGTTAGGTTAGGTAGGTTAGGCAGTCGAAAAATAATTATTTCATGAAAACTTGGCTTATTAGGCAAATCGGGCCTTGCATAGTAGGCAGAGAAGTGCGTTCTGGCTACTAGGTACGACATATATATATATATATATATATATATATATATATATATATATATATATATATATATATATATATATATATATATATATATATATATATAATATCGTACCTAGTAGCCAGAACGCACTTCTCAGCCTACTATGCATGGCCTGATTTGCCTAATAAGCCAAGTTTTCATGAATTGTTTTTCGACTACCTAACCTAACCAAACCAAACCAAACTTTTTCGGCTACCTAACCTAACCTAACCTATAAAGATAGGTTAGGTTAGGTTAGGTAGGGTTGGTTAGGTTCGGTCATATATCTACGTTAATTTTAACTCAAAAAAAAAAATTGACCTCATACATAATGAAATGGGTAGCTTTATCATTTCATAAGAAGAAAATTAGAGAAAGTATATTAATTCAGGAAAACTTGGCTTATTAGGCAAATCGGGCTTTGCATAGTAGGCCGAGTACGACGTTCTGGCTACTAGGTACAACATATATATATATATATAGTTTATTAGTATATTTTGGTAGCAGTCTTTCCTGTAGACATATATTATTAAATATGACCGAAAAAGTAAGATTAATAATTCTAACACGAATTTTCTCAATCTTTCGTACATTTTGTTTCACTGTTGGAGGTAAATCAAACATCAATTCTCCAAAATAACTTGTTATTTCTAGTCTGACGCGACACGAGCGCGTTTCGTAAAACTTATTACATTTTCAAAGACTTTAGTTCACAAATACACAACTGAATAGAACTTACGCATCTCCGATTTTATATCTACATTTGAGTGAGGTGGAAGGGGTGATGTGGCATTAACACAAGACAGAACAAGATGTGGTATTAATAGGGTATTAATTTCATCAACACAAGACAGAACAAGAGTATTAACACTTTCGCGCTCTCGGCGCTCAAAAAAAAACAATACCCCAGATGCTTTCGGCACTTCGCGCGCCTACGCGGTAAGACCGAAAAGTGTACACTCTTTTGACTGTCCTGACAATAATTGAAGGTGCACGTATTTAAATTTGGTATCACTGTGTTCGCAATGAAATTGTCTATAAGAGAATACCTATAAAATGCCGCCCAAGCATAAGGAGTATCAACACCAAATAAAAAACTATGCAGATCACTCGCCGAGAGCGCCAAACAGCAACAAAATGTTTCCACTCTCTTAATGGTTGCGAAGCCTACAGTTGTCCTACATCGCTAATTTTGGTATCATTGGAATCGCAGTAAAATTCTCTACACGGACATATGCATATGAATGTTTAATATAGGTAATTGCCCACCCGCAAGAGTGTGTGAAGTGGAGAGTAGTTAGCCGCGAGCGCACTGGCGAAAACACAGGGGGGAAATCATGCTTGGAAAGTTTATACGTTTCCTGACCCTACTTTTCTATGTACGTATTTCTTTTTTATACCAATGTGTTCGCAATAAAATTTTATATAAGATGAACTGTATAACATTTGTACAAAGCATGTGTAAGAGAAGCGCCAAATATAGAACCACGTCGCTCAGTATGCGTTCGCGGCAGAAACGAACGCATTGTTTTCGTTCGTTTGATGTTTGTCATGTTTATACTTGTTGAAACATTTTATAATTTGTATGACAGTGATCGCAGTAAAATTCCCTACACAGACATATACATAACACAAAGATTTCCCACGTGTTGGATATATCAACGGCTAAAGGAAACCCACTGCCACACGCTCGCCACACCCCCAAACATACTTTGTGTATTTTTTTTTTACTCATAGAAGTTTATGTGATATAATATTCATTCTGGTACCAAAACATTCGCAAATAAATTCCCTACAAAACAAAAGTATCCCCATTCATTTCGGTTAAAAAATGGAATTTATAGAAATATTTTTTCGATGGACGAGAAAACTCGGCTGTTATGCGGAATCGTAAGAGAAAACGGCGACGAGTTATCTCTAATCTAAAGCGCGAAAGTGTTAATAGGGTATTAATTTCATCAACACAAGACAGAACACGAAACAATGGATATTGAATAGAAGTGTTTGTAGAAAGCCTATTGGTCCATATTTCTTGATGCTTCTATATTGGAGCGGAGTCTTGAGGTGGGTAGAATATAGTTGTGCAATAATTGGCTGTTGATTGCTGGTGTTGACTTCTTGATGTGTAGTGCCTCGCAAACGTCAAGCCGCCTGCTATCGCTGTATCTATCGATGATTTCTGTGTTGTTTACTAGGATTTCTCTGGCGATGGTTTGGTTATGGGAAGAGATTATATGTTCCTTAATGGAGCCCTGTTGCTTATGCATCGTTAAACGCCTAGAAAGAGATGTTGTTGTCTTGCCTATATACTGGGTTTTTTGGAGCTTACAGTCCCCAAGAGGGCATTTGAAGGCATAGACGACGTTAGTCTCTTTTAAAGCGTTCTGTTTTGTGTCTGGAGAGTTTCTCATGAGTAGGCTGGCCGTTTTTCTGGTTTTATAGTAAATCGTCAGTTGTATCCTCTGATTTTTGTCTGTAGGGATAACGTTTCTATTAACAATATCTTTCAGGACCCTTTCCTCCGTTTTATGAGCTGTGGAAAAGAAGTTCCTGTAAAATAGTCTAATAGGGGGTATAGGTGTTGTGTTAGTTGTCTCTTCAGAGGTTGCATGGCTTTTCACTTTCCTTCTTATGACATCATAAGAAGGAAAGTGAAAAGCCATGCAACCTCTGAAGAGACAACTAACACAACACCTATACCCCCTATTAGACTATTTTACAGGAACTTCTTTTCCACAGCTCATAAAATGGAGGAAAGTGTCCTGAAAGATATTGTTAATAGAAACGTTATCCCTACAGACAAAAATCAAAGGATACAACTGACGATTTACTATAAAACCAGAAAAACGACCAGCCTACTCATGAGAAACTCTCCAGACACAAAACAGAACGCTTTAAAAGAGACTAACGTCGTCTATGCCTTCAAATGCCCTCTTGGGGACTGTAAGCTCCAAAAAACCCAGTATATAGGCAAGACAACAACATCTCTTTCTAGGCGTTTAACGATGCATAAGCAACAGGGCTCCATTAAGGAACATATAATCTCTTCCCACAACCAAACCATCGCCAGAGAAATCCTAGTAAACAACACAGAAATCATCGATAGATACAGCGATAGCAGGCGGCTTGACGTTTGCGAGGCACTACACATCAAGAAGTCAACACCAGCAATCAACAGCCAATTATTGCACAACTATATTCTACCCACCTCAAGACTCCGCTCCAATATAGAAGCATCAAGAAATATGGACCAATAGGCTTTCTACAAACACTTCTATTCAATATCCATTGTTTCGTGTTCTGTCTTGTGTTGATGAAATTAATACCCTATTAATACTCTTGTTCTGTCTTGTGTTGATGAAATTAATACCCTATTAATACCACATCTTGTTCTGTCTTGTGTTAATGCCACATCACCCCTTCCACCTCACTCAAATGTAGATATAAAATCGGAGATGCGTAAGTTCTATTCAGTTGTGTATTTGTGAACTAAAGTCTTTGAAAATGTAATAAGTTTTACGAAACGCGCTCGTGTCGCGTCAGACTAGAAATAACAATGAATTTTGGAGAATTGATTTTTGATTTACCTCCAACAGTGAAACGAAATGTACGAAAGATTGAGAAAATTCGTGTTAGAATTATTAATCTTACTTTTTCGGTCATATTTAATAATATATATAGTTATATATATATATATATATATATATATATATATATATATATATATATATATATATA